TTTATTGGGGGGGGGAGAGGATGAGAGGGTGGGGGAGAAGAGCTGTTTCCACAAACGGGGAAGGAATGAGGAGAGAAGGGGGGCAATGAGGGGGCTGGTAACCGCGGGAGGGGGCAGCAGGCGGCATGGGGAGGCGGAGCAATCGGGACTGGCAGCAGGGGGCATGAGGAGGGGGAGCAACCGGACTGACAGCTGGGGAGGGGACAGTGAGGGGCTGGAGCTGTTGTCACTGGACCTTACTAGGCTGTAATGGGTGGGAGTAGCCTTTCGGTTAATAGGGTGTAGTCTTACATTTTTCAAGGGGCAGTTCCTTATTCAGGGTGCTATGTGACAAGCCCAAAGTTAAGGCTGTAATGAATAACCTGCGTTTTTGGGGGAGAGGGTGAACTTGGTTCAGTAGCTGGAGCAGGTGATGGGAATCACATTTACTTGTTTGTTTCAAGGCCCTGTATCATACAATCTGTATTTTTCATCTAACCTGATTTCCTTTCATATTCTTTCTTTGCATTCATTTGCCTGTTTTTTGTTTTGTTTTAAATCTCTGCTTCTGTATCCTCTTTGCCCCAACACTGACAGCCCCTCTGTTCCAAGCAGTCCTTCTGCTTGAATCTCCCTCAGAAATTGTTAGCCAGGCCACCTCCTTTGCCACACTAAGAGTTCTCTCTCAAACGCCTTCTGATCCCTCTTTCCTATGAGATGGGGAATGGAAATGAGCTAAATGACAAATATGCCAAATTGTGTACCTGCCTTATTTTTGTTCTCTCCTTGCTGTTTTTCCATGACCCTCCCTCCCTTAATGAATTGTGTACATTTTTAGTCTGTGTGCTCTTTAGTTTCAAATTCTCAGAAGGGCAGCTGTGTTAGTCTGTAACTTTTAAAAATGAGTGGTACGTGGCACCATAGAGACTAACAAAACTATATATATGGTATCCTCGTGGGTAAACCCCACATCTTCAGATGAGATGCCTCAAGACTGTTTTCATTTGTTTTGTCAGGTGCCTAGTATACTTTTGGATGCTTGAAAAATTAATGCAGAGTTGAGATTTCTGGTTTTAGTCTAAACTCTGCCAGCATCTTGCTATGTGACCTTGAGTGAGTCACTTAACCTTTCTGGTCCTTCAATATCTATCTATACTATGACTTACCTCCAAAGAGCATTGTGAGTTTAGGTTGAATGTTTGTAAAGAGTTTTGAGGTCCTTTGATGAAAGATGGTTGAAACAAGTATGAAGTATTAGTGACATGCCAACACCTTTTTAGTATTGCACCTGAATGGTTTGGAATGTGTCCTGAGTCTTCTCCGGTTTGCTTTTTTGTTGATTCTAGAAAGAAGATGGCTATATCAATAGGAAATGTTATACTTGAAACAATCTGTTAATCCCACTATGTGAAAAGACACCATTTTTAGTGGCATTTAATACAATTGCTAAATATAGGATATATTTTCATTATGTATTGCAGTTCATTAATGCTCTAAATCTGTTGGGGTTTTTTTGTTTGGTTTCCAGTGTATATATGACCTTAGCAAGTTAGAGAAATGGTCAGAGGTAAACAGGATGAGGTTTAATAAGGAGAAATGCAAAGTGCTCCACTTAGGAAGGAACAATCAGTTCCATACATACAAGATGGGAAGCGACTGTCTAGGAAGGAGCATGGCGGAAAGAGATCTAGGGGTCATAGTGGACCACAAGTTGAATATGAGTCAACAGTGTGATGCTGTTGCAAAAAAAGCAAATATGATTCTAGGTTGTATCAACAGGTGTGTTGTAAGCAAAACTCGTGAAGTCATTCTGCCGCTCTACTCTGCACTAGTTAGGCCTCAGCTGGAGTACTGTGTCCAGTTCTGGGCGCCACATTTCAAGAAAGATGTGGAGAAATTGGAAAGGGTACAGAGAAGAGCGACAAGAATGATTAAAGGTTTAGAGAACATGACCTATGAAGCCAGGCTTCATGAACTGGGCTTGTTTAGTTTGGAAAAAAGAAGATTAAGGGGGGACATGATAGCGGTTTTCAAATATCTAAAAGGGTGTCACAAGGAGGAAGGAGAAAATTTGTTCCTCTTGGTTTCTGAGGACAGGACAAGGAGTAATGGGCTTAAAGTGCAGCAGGGGAGGTTTAGATTGGACATTAGGAAAAAATTCCTAACTGTCAGGGTGGTCAAATATTGGAATAAATTGCCAAGGGAGGTGGTGGAATCTCCCTCTCTGGAGATATTTAAGAACAGGTTAGATAGACATCTGTCAGGGATGGTGTAGACGGAGCTTGATCCTGCCTTGAGGGCGGGGGGCTGGACTCGATGACCTCTCGAGGTCCCTTCCAGTCCTATTATTCTATGATTCTATGATTCTATATATGTGTCTGTTTGTGATGAGCTGTATATATTTAACTTTTCCTGCAGCTTTGGTGGGCTCCAGTGAACTGCCTTGTTTTGCTACTTACTCTACAGTTCATTGGAAAAGATTATCCTTTTTTCAACAAACTTATTTTTGTTTCTCAAGGGTGTTCAGGAACTCATGCATATGAGAGAGAAAACATTTATTTTAGTTTTTTAAAAGCGTTGGCTTATTTCTATAGCTCCTATATGGTGGTCTTAAACTCTTTTCAGAACTAAAATGGAAAACAGAGGCTACTATTCAGAAATGTTGTATTTGAAATCCTGATTCATTTTTTTTAAAAGGAATTTCCATGTAATTAGATTTTCTGTTCTATGTGTTTTTTGGTATTGACATAATTATTACTCTACTCTAAATATAAACATTACTACTGGTAAAATGTGAATTTGAGTCATCTGAGTGAGATCTTTGAATTCATAAAAGACTTATTCAGTGTGGATTTGTAGGAAAAATTAATTGTACTGTACAGATGTCTCGAAAAAGTTATTCCAGTGATGTAACGTTATGAGCTAGTTCTATTTTAGGAAAAAGCTCAGTTCTACAATAGTTGAAATTGGTTTAATAACTACACAAATGCATAGGGAAACAAGGAAATATTAATGATATTGGGCATGGATATATAGCGTAGTTGAATTAAGAGGCCTCATTGTTCATTTTGGTGGAGCAATAGTTTATTCCCACACACATAGCAGGGTGGAGTAGCTTTTGGAGACACACAATGCTGTTCCTGTACTAACTGGCAGGGGTCACTGGAAAGCAACAGTCATTCCTTCTTTCTTCATTCCTGAGAGTTAAATGTATTCTAAATAGGTTTGGAAGAATTATTTTTGTCAGTAAACGTTGGTAAACTATGATTTCACCTCCCATACAGACTAACTAAAAATATATCCATGTATAATACACATAGGTAAAATGCTACATAACATTACAGTTTGAACGGCTCTAGTTTGGCGCTCTTTCGTCTGGCAGCATCTGTGGTCTGGCATGATTATAGTTGTCCACTTATCCTGGATATGGTCAAGTTACCAGCAGTCCCATAAAGTTTGTTTATAGCCACCAGTCCAGACTCTTAGTGTTCTGTGCTGCTGCTAAGCTCTAATTTACCCCTAATTGTAAAGTACTCCAGCTGAGGCCTAACTAGTGCAGAGTAGAGCGGCAGAATGACTTACAACACACCTGTTGATACAACCTAGAATCATATTTGCTTTTTTTGCAACAGCATCACACTGACTCATATTCAACTTGTGGTCCACTATGACCCCTAGATCCCTTTCCGCCATGCTTCTTCCTAGACAGTCGCTTCCCATCTTGTATGTATGGAACTGATTGTTCCTTCCTAAGTGGAGCACTTTGCATTTCTCTTTATTAAACCTCATCCTGTTTACTTCTGACCATTTCTCTAACTTGCTAAGGTCATTTTGAATTGTGTCCCTATCCTCCAAAGAAGTTGCAACCTCACCCAGTTTGGTATCATCTGCAAACTTAATAAGCGTACTCTCTATCCCAA